TCTTATATATATATATATATATATATATATATATATATATATATATATATATATATATATATATATATATATATATATATATATATATATATATATATATATATATATATATATATATATATATATATATATATATATATATATATATATATATTCATATGCTTCATCATTTGTAATTGGATAAAACCAAAAAAGTAAAAATATACATTGAATTTGCTCATCATCTTCATTCCCACACTTCCATTCTTCAACAACTACACATAATCATTTTCGTTGATCTGTGCATTATCGAGGTGATAACGTCTAAACTTAGGATTTGTATATAATTATTTGGGTTGAGAATTTAATGGGTTTTTTTTTTAAAAAACTTTTGGGGTTTTGTCTTCCAAGATCTTAAGGATTTTGGGGTTTTGCACAAATCTTTGCGTCACAGATTCAGCCAAGTGAAAGGTTTGAATAACGGTGAGTTCGTTGAAACAAGTAGCAATAATCGGAAGATTGTGTCAAAAGATTTGGGGTGGAACGTCTTACGATCAGAATCAGCCGTGTGAAAAGTTTGAAGAACGGTGGGTTCGTTCAAGCAAGTAGTGGTAATCGGAGGTTTGATCAAAGAGTTTGATATATATATATATATATATATATATATATATATATATATATATATATATATATATATATATATATATATATATATATATATATATATATATATATATATATATATATATATATATATATATATATATATATATATCAATTCTAGTTTTAGAATTGGGGGCAGACGTACCCGAAGCGAGGACGAAAAGGGAAACTACCTAAATAAATCTAGCGTAGTTCTCTCTTTCTCTATCTCTTTACTTTGTGTTGATTACATATGTTTGATATTAATTGTTCGATAAATTTTCACTGTTGAGTAGTGCTAAAAAATGTTTTAAAAATTCATTACAATCACTTGGATTATAATTGTGAAAAATTATGCACTATCATTTCATAGGAAATTCAACGTGGGGTGTTTTGTACACCAAGTGTTCGACGTATTGATCACATACAAATTGTTTGTGAATTTGTCAAGTTAATTTTTATATTTTATAATTCATTGGAAACCAGTTGATACAAAGTGATTATTATTTGTATTAACTAATTGGCAACGTATTGACTTGTTTTCTCATTGATTTTATTCCATTTGGCTACACATATCTGATCTTACCAATAATGGTTTGCTTAGACGATTAAAATCCACGCCGCTTCCGCACGTATTTGAAATAATTTTTAAGCGCCAATTTTTGTTAAAAATTAGTGATCTATTCAACCCCCCTTCTAGATCATTGTCGTCGTCTAACAGCAACTGTGTTTTGTTTCTTACTCCTCCATGAAATCATATTTCCTTCAATAAGAACATAATATTCATAAGTTGATCTCCTATCCGATGGTGATCCTGCCCAATCTGAATAACACGTGATTTTAGCATCATCCTTATCTTCATATAATAAGCATCTTCCTGGTGCATTCTTTATATATCTAAGAATCCGAATAACTGCATTCTAATGAGTATCACAAGAAGTATTCAAAAAACTCATAACGCTCATTGCAAAAGTAATAATCAGTCTGTTGACGGTAAGATATTTGAGTCTACCTACTAGACATTGATATCTTCACGGGTCTTTCAATAGCTGCTCCTGACCCGAAAGAAGCTTAACCTTGAGACCCATAGGAGTATAAATTGGACGTCAATCAAGCATACTTATTTCATTGAGGATGTCTAATGTATACTTACATCGATTAATTGCAATGCCTGATGAGGACTGAGCAACTTCAATACCCAAGGAGTATTTGAGTGGACCGAAGTCTTTTGTCTGAAAGTTGTTGAAAATATGATTTTTGAGTCGTTGGATACCCTCTGTATCATCTCCAGTGATAACAATATCGTCAACATAGACCACAAGAAAGATGTGTTAACTGGTGAAGGAATAAAGGAAGAAAACCGAGTGATTTAATTCATATCTAGTCATACCAAATTGTATCAGGGCAGAGCTGAAACGACCAAACAAAGCACTTGGAGATTGTTTCATCCCATAAAGAGACAGACGAAGTCGACAAACAAGTCTAGAATTTCCAGGAACGGTAAAACCTTAAGGTTGCTCCATATATACTGCCTCCTCTAAATCTCTATGTAAAAAGGAATTTTTAATGTCTAATTAATGAAGCGGCCAATGATTAATAGCAGCCATTGCAAGGAAGAGACGGACTGAACTAATCTTGGCTACATGAGAAAAAGTGTCACCATAATCAATGTCAAATATTTGTGTATATCTTTTAGCTACCAAACGAGCTTTGAAACGATTGATTTGACCATCTGGTCCAACCTTCACTGCATAAACCCATCGACATCCTATTGTAGTATTGTTGGAAGGTAAAGTAACAATATCCCAAGTGTTATTTGAATGCAATGCAGCCATTTCTTCCACCATCGCCTGACGCCAATTGGGATCAATCATAGCTTCACCGTAGACTTAGGAATAGGCACAGAATCCAAAACAGACACAAAAGACAAATAGGAAGTAGAAAGACGGTCATAATTTAAAACATAGGCATATTTAGGATTTTGAGTATGAGATTGAATACCTTTTCGTAATGCTATTGGAAGGTCAAGTTCATGTGATGTAGGGTGAGGGACATTTGGAGCAGGAGGTGGTGCTAGTGGATTAATATTATCTCTAACTTCTAATGGATGGGGTGTCTATCACTGATAGACCTGCAATAGAGGTTTAATGGGTGTGGGATGACAAAAGGGACATCATGAGCATCTAAATTACAAGTCTCAACGGGTGACACGAAGGCAGAGAAAAATGGGGAACCTTCAACGAATGTAACATCAGAGGAAACAATGTACCGTTGAAGTTGAGGATAAAAACAAAGATATCCTTTTTATATATGTGAGTATCCTAGAAAACTACATTTTAGAGATTTGGAAGAGAGTTTTTCTTTACCTGGACTAAGATGATGAACAAAGTATGTGCAACCAAAGACGCGACGCAAAATGGGATAGAGGTCATGTTGTGGATTCAATATAGAGTATGAAATCTGATCTTAAAGGACCGATGAAGACATTCGGTTGATAAGGTGACAGTCTGTGAGGAGAGCATCACCTCAAAAACGAGAAGGTACATTGTGGTGAAGTAAAAGAGTCTGTGCGGTTTTAACTAAATGGTGATTCTTACGTTCAGCAACATCCTTCTATTGTCGTATATGAGCACATGATGATTGGTGAATAATTCCCAATGATGTTAAAAAATATTGAAACTGGGATGACATATATTCATGAGCATTATCAGTGCGTAAAATTTTAATGGAATGGTTAAACTGATTTTTAATTTCATCATAAAACACTTGGAATATAAGGAAAACATTTGAACGATTTTTCATTAGAAATAACCAAGTAAATCGTGAGAAATCATCGATGAAGGTTACAAAATAGTAATATCCTAAGGTAGACTTCACACGACTAGGACCCCAAATATCATAATGAACTAAAGTAAAAGGTGATGCAACACTTTTATTTACTTGTTGACAATAAGTACTACGAGTATGTTTGCCTAATTGACATGACTGACACTCAAAAGATGAAAGCTTAGAAAAACTAGGAACTAAAAGATGCATTTTATTAAGACTATAGTGACCCAAACGTTGATGTGTAAGGTCTTGAGAAGCAATCGAACCACATGCCACCAGTGGAGATAGATGATATAATCCTCCAGATTCACTCCCTGCTCCAATCGCTTGTCTTGTACATTGATCCTGGATATAAATTGAATTATCATTAAAAATGACTGAACAATCAAGAGTACGAGTAAGCTTGTGAACAAATATTAGATTAAAAGGACAACCAGGAATGTAAAAAACAGACTCTAAAGACAGGTTTCAAAGAGGGTGTGCCTGACCAAGGCCTTGAACTTTGATTTTAGAACCATCAGCCACAGTGACAGAAGGAAAAGAATCAAAATAAAACAAGTGAGATAAAAGAGATTTATTACAAGCCATATGATCAGAGGCACCAGAGTCAATGACCCAAGGACTAATAGAAGATGTAGATACAAAGGCTACAAGATTACCCGACTGAGCAACAACGATATATGATGATGGTTGATGGGTTGGTTTGAATTGGAGAAAATTATTGTAATGATCGACAGGAATAGTAATGTCTTTAGTGTTGTCCGGTTGAGCGGCGACAGCGACCCATGGTTTTCATTGTTGTTCTCTTGCCTTTACGACAATCAGCTTCAATATGACCGTAACGATTGCAATAGTTATAACGAATTCCATGACGTTGTCCACCCCGTCCTCTGGTTCGTCCACTATGACCCTGATAGTGGGAAGTAAAAACAGATGATTCAGTGGAAGATGGAGTGGAGACTGGTCCAAAGGCGTGAGGTGTAGCCAAACGCAACAGTTGTTCACTAATTGCTTCATAGTTAGGAACATTAGATCCTGATTAAATATAGTTCCGGACAAAATCAAGCTCTGGTGGTAGTCTGGCAAGTGCCACGGTCATGAAATATTTACTTTGTTGTTCAACATAAGTTGTTGGATCTTTGGTAAAGGGCATTAGGGTTGTGAAATTTGCCTTTAACACATCAAACTTACTCAGATAGGCTTGCATATCCATATTCTCCAATTCAAAAAGGTGAGTTTTGTGATGACACTTTAAAGATTGTAAACATCATTGGAGAAACTAAAAATTTATTTAAGATTATACACAATCCATTGGAAATGTTATGCCATTTATCAAATACAGAAACTAAAAATAGATGGAATGAAACACAAAATACTAACACAAGTTTCACATATTTAGATAACCTGCTCAATACTCTAAAATAAACCGGCAGGAGAAAAGACACAATCAAACGTTGGTAGATACATATATGTTACCCAACATATCAAAACATAACACCAGATAGAGTGAAATGACACAAGTTTTCAACACACTGCTACTATACTTCACTTCACTTGTATTCAAGAATCATGTTGTTCTCAGGAGCCAATCCAACACAAGCTCTCATAATATTCTCCAGCATAGACCTCTGCTTAGACAACGCGTTCACGACTGGTGTACCCGGTGGGACAAGCGGAGCCTTAGTGAGGTAACTGAGAATGGTTGCGACAGGGTGGAACGAGTGAAACTTGTCCTTTAAAATTAAAAAACCAACACATTTAGCTTGAAAATTTTGACAACTGAATAAACAAAATACGGTTTAAAGAAAATATAAAATATAAAGTTAATAACCTCGTGTTCAGATTTGAGCTGAATTCGAGTACTAAGCTCAGCAAGAAGAACCAAGTCCAAGATAATCGGAGCAGCCAAAAGCGAATCTTCGCATGTGTTATGCATCACAATTGTGTTCTTTCCACCCATGAATATCTCAGAAGTGTACTCATCCATTGCTCTCTTGGAGTCACGAACATAAGGCACATACTGCAAATTGAAACAACAAATTAATCAATTAATCACTTCAAATAACATCAACAGAAAAAGAAAAAGAAAGACAGGATAATATAAAATAAAAGTTACCTTAATAACAACAACATGGTCTGGATGTTCACCAGGAGCATAGAGAATAGCGTTGCTGTTAACCATATCATCGACAACGTTGCTCTTAGAGATTTCCTTCGAGCGGAAGGTTTGAGGCGCAGAGAGATTCATTCCATCATTGTTTCCTAAATGATTGTAACTCACTATTGATGTTGGCTGGGAATTATCAACAAACAGCACAATTCAAATATCATACCAAGCAAAAAACTGAATAATTGAATACGACAATATTATAGACAGACAAACGTACTTTGATACCAGCTCCTACAAGGAAATCAACCAACACAGATTTCATTTTTGTCTGACCACTCTTGAAATCATCTCCGCCAATCAAACTGTTCCTTTGGATGGCCAGATCAATCAGCCCTGATGAACAAATCCAAGCAAAATTCAATTTTTGAGATTCTGTCAAACTCATCGTTAATCTAAAGACACGTTGAATTGCGGAAATAAAAATTTTAACCTGGGACAAAGGTGTTTTGAGGGCTTCCATTGATGAAAGGAACATTTTCAAGAACACAAGCCAAAGCAAAAAGGGTTGAAGGTGAAATCTCAGATTCATTCTTGTCCACAGAAGCCAAGAGATTTTCTGTAGTGTCGTTTAGTCCCACAACAATATTACTATACCTCTCAGTGTTTGCAGTCCACAGTACAACAACCTTGTCAACCTTGTTAGCTTCCTTAAACTCCCTTAAATTTCACAAAAATTCTTATATAAGTCTCAAAAACAATCATATGGTGCTATATTAAATTATATTGAATTATACTTAATGTCTTTGATGACTTGTTGGAGTTGTTCTTTCTTTGTTCCTTTGATGATGTTGTTGGCGCGTTCTCCTTGATTAGCAGCAATGAAATCAGGATCATAGATTCCAGGAAGTGGAACCATGGATTCCATGTAAGGTCTCAATTGTTTCTGTAGGTCGATGTCAAATACCTTGGCTCGACCCATGGCATCAGCTAGGTTCATGTCACTTATATCCCATCCTCCCCATACAATATCCTCAGGGTTTACCTACATAAATTAATTGATTTAAAACTCATACTTATGAAATAATTCATATATGCAAGAACTATAATTACAAAAATTAATATGTTTAGACATATTTAAAATCGTAAAAGTTCACGTCACTAGTGTGAATCTAACATTCGGACACACTAGAGAAGTATGACCCTGACAATGACTCATCAACACTAATATCAAATGTCTGTTTCGAATAGTGACAACTTTTTTTTAGTGTTTTTTTTAAATGTGTCGATGCTACATATAAATATTAATACTACTATAAAATTACTCATATACCATAGGAAGAAGGCTCTTGAATGGGGCATAAATTTCCTCTCCTTGAATAGACCCCACTCTGATAGCTGATGCTTGGGTCAGTGAACCAAAATAATTGGCTTGTTCAATCTTGTCCTTTGTTGCCCATGAAATACCCCTGAAATTTTAAGTCACAAAGCATAATTTTCTTCTGTTATTATCATAATAGTTCTGACATCAGAAACACACCACACCAACTGATAATAATTTTAAAAAAAATATCAATACTACAAAATAATAGAAAAATAATGGTGAGTAAGATGAAACTAACTCTCTGTTTGCAATAACACCACCAGTGAGGGTTGAACCATTGTTTCCACCCCACCCAACAAGCATTACCCTAACAATATCAACAACAACAAAATAACACACATAAACAACAAAATAAATAGAAATTATTTTTCTACAGAATTAAGAAATATATAAATAAAAAAAAGGACGCTATAGTACCCTAATTTAGGGACATTTGTTTGTGTTTTAAACTCATATTTGACAGTTTTAGGCTTAACAACCCATTGGTAAGTGTCATTTCTGTTCTCATGAACAAGTTCAGTTGTTTCGTAGCTGTACACAGATTGAATCTCTGTCTCTGTGTACTTCACGTTAGGACTCTCAACCTTGAAACTCTCTATGAACATTCTCGTGAATATGGAAATCACAAAGAGAAAAGGAGGAAAGTTTTTTGAAGAGTAGGTGGTTAGTGGTAGTGGTGTAGCTTCACGTTGGTGAAGATGGTTGTATTTATAAAGAAAAACCGAATAGTGGTACTACACGTGGTATAGAAAGAGTGGGTGTGAATAATGGGACCATGCAGTTACACAATAATGGTTTCTATCATTTTTAACTTTTTATTTTTGACAAATAATAATTCATTCAATTCAAGGTTGTTCTCGATGGATCCGTAATTGTGTGAATAGTTGTATCTTCTTTTAATATCTATAGAAAACATGTTTGTTTTTTATGTAGCTTATTTTCATTTCAATTTTATCTTTTTTGAATGTGTTTGATTTGTAAAAAACCGAAAGTTTGGATATGATAATTCTTTTTATATGGACAAAATATGTAGCTACAAATATCACAAAAACAAGAATTTTTGTCATTTATTAAATCATAGAATAATTTTCTTTTTCAAAAATAAATTATCAAAAAATATCAAAATATAAATTTTAATCTCTCTATTTAATATTTTGATTTATAAATATAATACTAATATTTAATTTATTAATAAAAAATATCATAATAAAATCATATTATTTTTGTTCAATGCATAAACATATTAAATAAAGTTGAATACAAAAATATTTTTCCTCTTCATTTTTTCTTTTCCTTTTCGTTATTTAATATTTTCATTCATGAATATCAATAATTTATATATCAATAAAAATATTATAATAAAATATATATTATTTAATACATAGATATATCAAAAAAAATTAATAAAAAGTTGTCCGATACATCAATCACCATACATCGAACAATATAAAAAATTGCTTTGTGTTATTATCTCCAATACTTGTTATTTTGCAAATCAAACAAACTTTTAATTTTTTTAAAATATTAACTTTTGTAAATATTTTTTATTTATAGTAAGTTTTTTCTCTCATTCTTATCTTAATATTTATAAAAGAAAAATTAAACAAATAAATATTATTTATATCTTACTGATATTCTTTTGGTGTCGGCGGTCCTCACGGTTTTGAGTTTACCGTCACCCTTTTGGTGTCGTTAACATTTGTCATTGTAAGTTTTTTAGTGTCCACTCGAGGGTTGGTATTGACCTGGTTTCTTTTAAAAAAACTCATCACATTTTCTTTCTTGGACAAAATTCAGAGTCTTTTCGTATTTAATTATCTTACACCACGAATGTATGAAAATCTGTCATACCCCAATTTTGTCCGGACATTTTAAAATTTTCATGCATCTGACTTTATTTTTACTTTGCATAGAATAGCATGCATTTCATCCCGTGTAGTGCCTAAAATGTCACCCGGAATAATTTTTTGGATTTACAAACAGGCTGGTCAAACTAAATCTCTGTTAGCTCACAAATTTGACGCATCACATATATATAGATTAAAATATTGAAATAAATATTGAAGTCTTTAAAAGGTTTCGAGGTATGAGACCTTCGAGTGGAAAGTCAAATATTGTGGGACTTAGAGAAAATTATGAACCTTAAAGAAAGTGGCCTTCGACCGAGATGTTGGCTGGAGATTAGTGAAGTTTTTGAAATTCAAATAATGGTGGGAGTAATTATGTTTTCCTATGATTAAGAGGGACAAGTGGCGTTCGTTTGACAAAGGACTACATGCATGGTGACACTTGTCGGAATCTGATGGCTTTAGGAGGTTATTGGTAGTTATTCGTACTATTGTAAATAGGAATCTTAGACATAGAATTCAGTGTGTTGTAATTTACTATTTGTACAAGTCACTCCCAAATTTACTCAAAGTATTCGAGTGTAGAAAAACGAGTTCAAGAAGAATGTACGTTATGTAAACGCACCATCTTTACTTTCAATGAAGTTTAATTTACTTGCTTAACTTTACAAAGTTTTTCTTTACCTTTTCTACAATCTTTCCTCTTCTATGCACTTTACTTTATCTTTGTTCTCAACTCTTTTCTAAGATTTCTATTTCTTTCCCTTCTAATATCTATCTTCTTTTTCACCTCAGTCGAACAAACACTTTTATGATTAAAGCCTCTTACTAAACATTGTCGAAGTGTGCAACTTAGATAGATTTCAAAACATAACCTTTAGCACATGTCCTAGGATCAATCTGATCGATCCTGTGAATCACCAAAGTTAGATTTGGAAGATCAGCAGTTGCTTTTCATTTTTCAAGGGAAACAAAATGGCACGCCCAGTGGGACAGTGCTAAAAGATTTTTTCTTAGTTTTGCAAAATACACAAAACTGCAGTTTATTTGTCTTTCGCGAAAGGTTCGTTATATGTTACTAAGAAGTGGAAAAATTGCAGCTATAAACGAAGAAAGACCAAGAAGAAGGTATATTAGGGACATGACGACAGATACAAATCAGCCAAACAACCATAATCCTCGAGGAGATGGTTCTAACTCTCAGCCTAGCACCATTAGTCCTCACGAAAGTTTGAGAAATGACGTGGTTTCACCCTCAATACCTTCGACCGGAGAGCAAATAGTACCTCCTGCAAGACTGGAACCAGTACCATCAGTGTTGAGGTCTGGGTCAACAAGAGTAAGGACTTACACCCATCCGGTGTTGGAATATATTAGACCTCAAGCATCGAATCCCCAAACTTCGCCAGGAGGAAATTCGACGTCCAGACAATTGGTTCCTCCAGGGTTTTCACAATTATTACCAAGAAACCCTCCATATGGAATGCCAACGACTATGGTGCAAGATCTCTAAAATGCTCCCCCAATATTCTCAGACAATGCAATGGCTTCGCCATTACAAGGATCAAGGTTTGGGGTGGACATTGGTCGGAACCCCCAAAGTTTAGGCTTAGGATATTCCACACAGGGCCCTAATCTAACCAATACTTCGGTTGCATGTTTGAGACGGAAAATGGATGAGAGAAATTTTCAAATCGTTCAAACCTTGTCCCAGACCATGGGTGGAATCTTTCAACCTTTAATCCAAAACACCACCCAAACCAACCAACCGTTAGCAGTACAATTAACATGGTTGACTGAATTTATGGGTGTACCTTCTGCTGTTAGGAACACAGCTATGGTGGAAAACATTCCGCGACGGGACTTAGGAAACCTACCTGAACCCAATTTAGAGAATCAAGAGAGGGTCGAACTTCCCAGGCTCGAACCACACAGAGTCGAACCACTAAGGGATCAGATACTAATCCCAGGGGAAAGGGACCCAGGGGTAATCATAGTAAATCAAAACCAGGATGCAGACAACGTTGTCTAACAGGTTCGACGTAATAACATAGTTGTTGATAACAACTTAACAGCCATGGTCGAAAGGATAATGGCTCGAAACAACATAAACACTGGGTTCGCTAGGCCAAATTATATGTCTCCAATAGTAGATTACATCCTCCAAGCAGAGTTACCTCCTAGGACGAAAGTTCCTAAATTCACTAAGTTCTCATGGGATACGATGAAATCTATTGTCGAACATGTGGCTCATTATATAATCGAAGTCGGAGAGATAGCTAATAATGATAGCCTCAAGATAAAATACTTCCCTAGTTCTCTCACTAAAAATGCATTTACCTGGTTCACGACTTTGCCCTCTAACTCGGTTTGTAATTGGACCCAGTTAGAATGTTTATTCCATGAATAGTTCTATATGGGGCAAACCAAGATTAGCCTAAAGGAACTGGCTAGTGTGAAACGTAAGTTTTTTGAGCCAATAGAAGAGTACCTAAATAGGTTTCGACTACTCAGAGCTAGATGTTTTACTCAAGTACCTGAGCATGAGTTGGTCGAAATGGCTGCAGGGGGCCTCGACTACTCCATTAGAAAGAAATTAGACACTAAGTACCTAAGGGATATGGCTCAATTAACCGATAGAGTTCGACAGTTAGAGCGTCTTAAAGACGAAAAAGCCAAATTCAATAAGAGCAAGAAAGTAGCTTATGTCGAATATAACGAAAACATCGAGGGTGTACGGGAAGACCCTTTATACTTCGACGAAAATGAAGTAGATGTTGCTGAACTAAAACAGGGTCCTCCTTACGCTTGTAATGTATTGGCTCTCCCACTTGGAAAAAGTTTTGTCGAATCTCTAAAGAACGACAGATTCCCAAAGAAAACATATACTTTCGACATCACAAAATGTGACAAATTTTTTTATTTGTTAGTTAAGGATGGGAAAATGATAGTACCAGATGGTGCTAAAATGCCATCTCTAGAGCAAAGGATAAAGAGAGGGTTTTGTAAATACCATAATTTTTTGGCTCATAAAACATCTCAATGTTTTCTTTTCAGGGATCTGGTTCAAAATGCCATCCAAGAAGGAAGACTGAAGTTTGGGGAGAAGGCCAACAGCCAGATGAAAGTCGATACAGGCCCTCTATAAGTAGCGGACGCTCACTACACAGAGCCCACAGAGGCACATGTGGTCGAAGCTACTGATGGCTATGAATTCTCGATCAATATGGTAGAGGTTACGGATGATTTTGTTGCTGGAACTGTAATGACCAAGATCACTATGGGTTTTGGACAAGGAAATTGGTTGGAGGAGGTTGCTGATGGCCTCGACCAGGGTGTTGATGATCCAAGTCAAGAGAACACGGAAAATTCAAGCTTGGTAATGGTGACCAGGGAAACTGCTGATAGTTTCATTAAGATGGACCAGGTCTGTAAGCTCAATCTAAGAGAGGGCGTCAACATGAATATGATGGAAATAACGCCATATGAGACCATGGAGGATAATAAATCAGGTTGTCAGGAAGAACACAACAAACTAGCCTATCCAGGACACGAAGAGTCTATCGTCGAATTTCTCCACCGCTGTCAAAAGAAGGGATCTAGTGTCATGATGTATCCTAGGTGTAGTGCCATCTTCGACATGAAGGCCGCCCAGAAACTCGAAGGGACATGCATATTAAAACAAAAGAGGAAAAGACCTAGCTTCGACCCTCGAGGCAGCATCCCAAGAGAATCTAGACCTAATATTAGGGCCTCAA